TGCAAGATCACACAATCAAAAAGCTTCTTTTAATATTTTGGGAGATAGTGCCGAAAACTTCTCCAGATGGCAAGCTTCTACAAGAGATGATTTTAGTTTGCGATGCGTATAGGAAGGACTTGCAGCATCCTAATGAATTCGTCAGAGGCTCGACCCTCAGGTATTGATCGAACAAACACATTTCTTTATTGGTTGAACAATTGCGATAGAATGTTGCATCTTTCAGATTCCTGTGTAAATTGAAAGAGCCAGAACTTTTGGAACCGCTGATGCCTGCAATTATTACTTGTTTGGAGCACAGACACTCCTATGTCAGACGTAACGCTGTGCTGGCAATTTTTACAATTTATAGGAACTTTGAGTTCCTCATTCCTGATGCTCCAGAATTAATAGCCAAATATTTAGAAGGAGAGCAGGACATGTCTTGTAGGAGAAATGCATTTTTGATGCTCTTACATGCTGATCAAAACAGAGCACTAGCTTATCTAGCTGCTTGTTTGGACCAAGTGCCCAGCTTTGGTGATATATTACAGCTGGTTATTGTTGAACTAATCTACAAGGTGCATATACGTTTTGAAGTATTTCCCTATTGATTTCAAATGTTAACAAACGTCGTTAATTGATAGGTGTGTCTAGCAAATCCATCAGAAAGAGCACGTTTCATTAGATGCATTTATAGTTTATTGAACTCTCCAAGTGCTGCTGTACGTTATGAAGCAGCTGGTACCTTGGTAACACTGTCTAATGCCCCCACAGCGATTAAAGCTGCAGCCTCCTGTTATATTGAGCTAGTTGTCAAAGAAAGTGACAACAATGTTAAACTGATCGTGCTTGATCGTTTAATCGCGATGAAAGAAAGTCCTGTTTACGAAAGAGTTCTCCAAGATTTAGTTATGGACGTACTTAGAGTTCTAGGTACGTTTTCGAAAAATAAATGAAGAAACAACCATGCTGCAATAGTCGGAATTTCGCTAAAAATATTATCCCTTCAGGTTCACCGGCATTAGAAGTCAGAACTAAAACGTTAGCCCTGGCCATGGACTTAGTAACCACACGTACCATAGAGGAAATGGTTCAGCTCCTAAAGAAAGAAGTATTAAGAACTGTGGGTGGGGAACACGAAGATGCTGGTAGATACAGGCAACTTCTTGTGCGAACATTGCATGCCTGTTCAATAAAATTCTCAGACGTGGCAGCTACGCTGATACCTGTATTGACAGACTTCTTATCAGAAAACAACGAAGCTGCTGCGACAGATGTGCTAGTGTTCGTCCGTGAAGCTATTCAAAGATTCGAGAATCTTAGACCGCTCATAGTTCAAAAGCTACTTGAAGTAAATATCTATAGTAAATAATTTACATTTTATAGCTTAACAGATCGTAACGAAATAATCTTTCCCTTACAGGTATTCCCACATATCAGATCGGTAAAGGTACACAGAGCGGCTTTATGGATTTTGGGTGAATATGCTACAACGAAAGAAGACATTGAAGCCTTCATGAGTCGAATACGAGCTGCCTTAGGAGAATTACCATTACTAGAGGCAGAGAACAGGCATCAAGCTGGCGAGAAGACGGAAGATGGAAATACTCAAGCCACTCCAGCACAGTTGGTCACATCGGATGGAACTTACGCGACCCAGAGTGCATTCAGCACTGCATC